CCCTAATAACTCTGCAGAATCTTGGAGACTATTCAGTGATACCAATGGGTGGGAAAATGAAAACTGCTCATTCAAAAGTAAGATTTTAAAAATCTAGTGTATTCACAGACATTGAGAAACTTGAATCTCAGTGAATTACATGTGTCAAAATCATTCAAAGACATTTTCGAAGACTTTTTCGAAGGCTGGAGAAGTTTCTGAATCCTAGAATGAAGAAGTCAGTGTTTTTATAAGAAGCCTCTATTACACATGAATGGACATGAATAGACAGAAGTCATTGCCTTTTCTAGGTACACATATCAAAATTGCTGCAGACCAAACAAAATTTAGGTGAAAACTGTGACAGAGGTAAGAAGGTAGTAAGTTGAATTCAAGATCAGTTGATCTAGAAATAAGCTTATAAATACTAATGCAAAACAGAACCAAAAATTCTGTCATCATCTCACTTATTGGTAGTTACTAGGCCACTGAAGAAATACTTGGAGATTTAACCAGATGTCCTAGTCACTGTGCAGTAGGCTTAAAGAATAGCTCTAGGGTTTTCAGATAAAACTACAGAATTACAGTGGGTGCCTATAGTCAACTAAGATTTCACCTAGTCTTCGGAACTTTGAGTAACCTAGAGACACCTAAAACTTCTGTTGATATAAATAAAAATATATATTTTTAAATACGGTCTGGGCAACTCTGTTCAAACACAGATTTAGCTAGCACTAAAAAAATACTGAAAATTGATTAATTAAAGTGGATTCTTACATTATGCTTTTGCCAGTCTATGGGTCTGTAAGTTTCTAAACACCTACCAGGACTACAGTTTGAAGACACTACTAAGTAATTTTTAAAAATGCTTGTGAGCAGCCAATTTTTGCTAAAGAACTGTAAATAAGGAGAAATCTCATATTTGGGCAAGAATGCCAGGGTATTTAATTATTCAACATTGGACTGCAAGGCTGGCCTGTAGCCCAGTGGTTAAAGGAAGCTGGATGGTGACCTGCCACCATTCAAATCCTGGACTCGGTGGCTTGAAAACCAAATTGGGCACATGTGCAAGCCACAAATACCAACAGGAAATGGGGAAATAGAGGGGAACAGATTGTTGCAGGCCATGCCCCATCAGGGGAACCTTTCTCCCTCTCCCTCTTTCTTTGTTTAGCTTATCGATAGAAGGTGAGTGAGCTGCTTATTCTATATGGGTGGCTTCACCTCTCAGCATAAACAATAAGAAAAATATTGCAGAAGGAAATCTTGCCATGACCAACTGGCAGGGTCACTGCATGTTGCCTAACTTCTTTGTCCCCAGTTGGCCTAGTTGTGGACACCTGCAGTGGGCCCACAGTTCATGAGTTCTGCATTGCTTATCTTGCCCTCCTGCACTGCCCTGCTCAGGGTTATAACACTCTCTGGTCTGCTGCCAGGTACACGTCTACATTGTTTCACATTCTTCTGTAGCTTAACTGACTCTGAGTTCTGTCTGTAAAATGGGGCTCTGACAGTACCTCACTCATAAGGATTATTCTAAGTGTGAAGTCAGATAATGTAGGTAAACATGGAGCCCAGTGCCCACTATGAAGTAAGCACTCAATGAATGTTCATTTTCACCATGTTCAGTTGGAATCCCTGCTAATAGCTTTCACCACTAGAAATGTGTGGGAAATCTGGTTCTGGGTGAGTTAATGTTGCACCCCTGAAAAGGCATGGGTCAGTGATTATGAGAGCAGCATTCAACCATGGGGCTGAAGTCCTTCTGCCAGCTTCTTCAAACCCTTTTCAAGTTTTGGAACTGGTTAACTATAGATCAGAGCTCAAGTGCCTGCAAATCCCTTCAAGTAACCTACATGCAGGACATCAGCCAGACATTATTAAAGTATCAGAATATTCTTCACATCTATTATGAAATATGTGCTCTCACATTTCCCTGGAAACAAGAACTCTCTTCTCCTCTGTCCATTTTCTCTTTTGCATTTTTGATAAAGACATAAATACAAATACAGGTTTCTCTACCATAAGAAAGTAACCATCCTTGGGACCAGCAGTTGACATAATGGCTATGTCACTGGACTCTCATGTAGTCAACCATGGTTTGAGTCCTGGAACTGGTGGCTTAAAATCATGCCGGGCACATGTGTATGCATGCCCAAGATCCCAAGAGGAGAATAAAGGAGAAGGGATTGTGGCATGGCCATTCTCCCTGGAGGGTAGGGGTGGGGTGATTTCTCACTTTCTGTCTCTCTGTCTCTCTCTTTCTGGTGAGTGCATGCGCCCTATAGCAAAAAGTCTCCAACAAGAAAAGGAAGTAACCATCCAAATAAATTATAAGACCTCAACAGAGAAATTAATAGAGATGATGGGTATGCAAATCATCTTGATTTAATCATTAGGCATTGTATTCTTTTACTGAAAAATTTATATTTATATTTATATTACCTATTCTAAATATATATTATATTCATATGCTATATTAATAAAAAGTAGTAAATATCAAAAAGATGAAATTTAATAGAGAGTGAGCAGGACAGCTGTAAACCCGGGAGCCACATGGAATGTGAACCATTGTCACCAATCTTCTGAGTTTTTAAGAGGTCAGAACCTAGAATTTTATTTCACTTCCCTTTATCCTTTATTGTGAAATTAATTATTTTAAAAATACAATATGAATAAAAAAAATTGATAGAGGAATGAATTTGACCTGGGGCATCCAGTCTGTCACTTCTCAGAAAAATAGAGACATTCCACCCTGCTCACTTCTGGAGTGATGAGTGAGTGCTCCCAAACACCGAGACCAGAGTGACTGGAAGGCAATGCTACCCCAGGGTGCCTCACCCTGGATGATGTCACTAGAGTCCAGGCAGTCTGTCACCAATGCTTGTTGTGCCACTGAGGCCCTGTTCCCAGCACCAGTTGAATCAGCCTCATCAGGAAATCAGTGGCCCTGGATTGGAGCACTCTGGGTAATGACCTATTAGAGAGGAAATGTTCTCCTGCTTGTCCATAGGGAAGGAGCCACTGAGGGCATTGAATGGGGCCCTACCCCCCAAGCTTTTACCCCTCCCCATTTCCATGCAGCAGCCCATTAAACTAGACCAAACATTCACCGTCTTGTAAAGCCCTTTCCTGCAGATGACTTGAGAAAAGCCATCTAGGCAGACCTGTGCAATATTGAGAAAAGCCATCTAGGCAGACCTGTGCAATAGGGAGAGATGGTTTTCCTTAGTCGTCTTTCCATAGGGAGAAGGCAGAGCTCAAGATCTCAAGGTAAGTACCACACTCTGACCACCACAGTAATTACGGTCAACATTTACCCAGCACTTCCTCTGCACCAAACACTTCTCTCAATGCCACACCTTGCACCATTTTAATCCTCCCAATAGCCTGAGAAGGTGTATGGTATTTTCTTTAAGAGATGAAAAAAAAGGCACAAAAGTTTAGATAAGTCACTTAAGGTCACCCAGCGAGTAAGTGGTAGAATCTGGTCTCCAATGCAAATACTTGGACAAGAGATTCAGGACCTTAACCATTTGAGTGTCTGCCTTGCATGGAAAGGGTCTGTGTGCCAAGGGGAGTGGAGGGAAGTGTAAATCCTTCACCAACTGTCCTGGAAAAATCCCTGAGGACCCAGGACAAAAGAATTCATTTCAAGAAGTAGAAACTGAGATTCGAACGCCTCACCCTCCCCCGAAATTTCTCCCTTGATTGTGAATCAAAGATGTTCAAAGGTAGAAAGGACCTTAAGGAGCTCTAGTTTAAAGCACTTTGGAAGCCTCTTTTTTCACTGAGCTCAGAAGAACCCAAGAACGTTTTCCCCTTACAGGAGACCTCTCTCCACAGGGGCGAGGGACAGGGACGCAGTTACACCAGGGTAGGGAGGGATTTCAGTGTGCTCATGAGAGTAGCCCTCAAGACATTTCCCACAGAAATTTAAAGAGCCCGCACTCACTCATCCACCCCCCCCACCCCACCCCTTCCTCTCTACCCACCCTGCCCCTTCACCTCGTAGGTACTGGTAATCCCCAGTTTGTAGAACACCGGGAGGAAGACCTCCGCGCTGATGACGACCACAAAGAAGTAGGTGAAGGCGAACATGGTGAATATGGCCCCAAAGCGGTAGACCTCGGAGGGGGTACCCAGGACGGTGACCGCCGACATGAAACTGGCGGAGAGGGACAGAGCCACGGGCACGGCGCTCATTCGACGGCCTCCAGTCAGGAACTCCTTGGAGGTCTGCTGGCCGCCGCCCGCGAAGGCGTAGTAGATGCCGATGGCCGCCGAGATGAGCAGCATGCCGGCAAACACCACGTAGTCCCACACCACGAAGGTGCCGATGGCCCGCGGCCGGTCCATGGCCCGCGGTCGCCGGAGTCCCGCGCGCAATCTGGAGCCCCGCGGCGCACTGCCGGAGTCTCGCGCTTCAGCCGCGACTCTCTTCTTATTCTAGGAGCCGCAGGTGCGGCGGGGGGGGGGGCCCGCTCCAGTTGTCGGTCGGCAGTCGGTCTGCAGCGCCCGGAGAAGCGGACGGCGCAGGGCCGACTGTCAGTGCCACCTGCGCCTAGCGCCCGCGCGCCTCCAATCCGGGTCCGGACACTTCGAGGAGTCCGCCCGCCGAGCTAAGGCTCCCCAGGTGCCGGACAGGAGTGTGGATCGCCGAGATCCCGGGCCACCGCGACAGGTGAGAGCTGGAGCCTCCAGCCGCGACCAGCAAATGCTCAGGGAGCGCTCAGCGCCTGTCATCAAGTGACACGCACTGAAGAGGACGCACCGTTTAAATGAGCAGGCGACTGGTGAAGAGCGTTGGTCGAAGGGCAATGGTCACGCCTTTAATTTTAGCTTTTCAGTTCAACAGTCCGGATTCCTACTGGAAGATATGCCTGGAGATTTTTAGATTGCTTTATTTGAAAGGTTAAGGGTGATGAGGGCGACAGTCTGCCGTGAGCTGAAATGACAGTCTTTAGAGAGGTAAGCTATTGTAAAGGAGAGGAGGACGTCTTATGTATATCAGCTGCCTAGTTTTCAATCAACAAACATTTCTGATCCTTTACGATCTGTCATAGAAATGGTAGAAATATTAATAATAATGCCTGGTATTTAGGGAGCCCTAGAATTTAATACATAGCATGCTTTTACATGGACTAGTGTCATTCTTACTACTACCTTTAAGATAGGAATTGTTTCCAGCTTTCAAATGAGGAAGCTGCTTTTTAAAAGGTTGTCATTGGACCAAGGAAATGGTGAAGATATTTAATCCAGGTCTGATGACAGGACTCGTTCTATCTTAATCAGAGTCCTATACTTTATGTAGAGTCTAAATGTAGAGATACATGTTAAAGATAGACCCAAAAGTATACACTTAAATTAATACGTTTAAAAGCATATGGAAGAAAAGATCGTTTCTTTTTTATTAAGTTGCTATTATTTTTTTGAGAGATTTTTGCTATAAGGCGCATGCATTCACTGGAGAGACAAGGAGAGACTGAGAGATAGAAAGCAAGAAATCACCCCGCGGGGGGATGGCCACACTATGGTCCCTTCTCCTCCATTCTCCTTTAAGGATTTTGGGCACGCATGCGCGTGTACCTGGTGTAAACTTCAAGCCACTAGGTCCAGGACTCAAACCATAGTCGACTATGTGAGCATCCAGCGCCATAACCAATACACCATCTGCTGGACCCTTATTAAGTTATTAATTAAGAATTATTTATTTAATTTTATTTATTTATATTTTTTAATTTGCTTTAGAGAACATGTGCTCACCAAAGAGAGAGAGAGAGAAGAAAAGAAAGAGAAAGTGAAAAAGCAAACTACCAGATCTGGGACTGTTCCACTCCCATGGTGGGCTATGTCCAGCACCCTAACCACCAGGCCACCTGCTAGCCCCAGAAAAGATCATTTCTAGTATTAGCGCTCAAGAAGTATTTTAAGTGGCTTGCCTTACATGTGTCACACTCATAAAGTAACATGATCTCCAGGTTTTCTCTTAAAACAGACCCTCCAGCCAAATGTACCCGGACTCTATTTCAGGCTGTTTTATTCATTTTCATACATTTTTATAATGTATCCGTTGATCTTTAGTAAATAATAATAGACTGTATTTAGTCCATCCCAGTATATGGAGAAAGCTGTATTGGATTTTATCTTTTGTAAACTGGTATTATTGGTATAACATTTTCAGAAGGAAATAAAGAAGGAAATAGAAGCTAAATCCAAGTAATTCAATCGTTTAAACAAATATGTGCTATGGAATCATGTCACACCTGAGAGAAATTGCATACTGTATTATAGAAAGAAACACATTTACATATTATATGAAGTACTTAGCTTTGTATATGCACAATGAACTTAAAAAGTAAAAATTTAGGGCCAGCCTATGGCCTGGTGGTTCCATGAGCTGGAGTCCATGTGGCCCAACTGCACAGTTCAAGTCTCAGATTTGATAGGCATGTGTACATAGGTGCCCAAAATCTCAAAAGAACGGGAAAATGGAGAAGAGATTGTCACATGACCATTCCCCACTGGGGTAGATTCTTGCTCTCTCTCTCTTTCTCTCTCTCTCTCTCTCTCTCTCCAGTGAGCACACATACCCTCTGGTAAAATTTTTAAAGTAAAAATAAAAATTAAAAAAATACAAATGGAGACTTGTTTCTAAGGAAGGAATGGCCACTAGTGGATGGTCAGCCCTCTCTGCCACATTCATCTCATCCACAATTTTCACCAACTTCCTTTTCAGAGACTGCTTTTCCAGGAATTTTGGCATTTCCCCATGAATCATCTGTAGCTGACAAAGCTAGAAGCTCCTGGATGTTAAACCACGCTTGACAGTAGCCAGTTCCTGTTTTTATCCTTCTCTATTTAAGATTCTTAAGATTAATAGTCCCCAGTTTTACCTCTTGTGTTGACAAATAGCCATTCTCTCTTCAGGACCTCCAGAAGACCATGGGCACCAGGGCCACAAAGATGCAGACAGGAGCAAAAGCGAAGTGGAACTCAGAGGCTGACCCAGAATGGAGAGGCTCAGAGAACTTCAAAAATGGCATGGTGTCTTGACACAGTGGACCATCCCCTTATTCGGTTGCTCATATCCCTTGAAGAAAACACTGATCAAGTATATTTTGGAATATAATCTGCTTTCTTTTATTGTGGTAAAATGCACAGAACATAAAATTTACCATCTTAATCATTTTAAGTGCACAGTTCAGTGGTATTAAACACCATCATGCATCTCCATAACTCTTTTCATCTCGTAAAACTTAAACTCTATACCCATTAAACAATCACTCCCATTCCCTCCAGCCCCTGACAACCACCATTCTACTTTGTGTCCCCCTCACCCCCATGGGGGACATGCCGTAAGTTTTGGCATGGTGTATTTTCATTTACATTTATGTCTAAGTATTTTCTAATTTTCCTTGTTATTTATTCTCGATCCATTTGTTGTTTAAGAATGTGCTGTTTAATTTTTACAACTTTGTGAGTTTTCTAGTTGTACTTATCTTCTTGATTTCTAACTTCATCCCAGTGTGACCAGAGAGGATACTTTATATGAGGCCTACCTTTCAAATCTATTAAGAACTCATTTGTGCCCAAACATTTTGTCTATTCTATAAAGTAAGAATGTGTATGCCATTGATACTGGGTAGAAATACTGTGCATGTCTATTAGATCTAGATAGGTTATTATGTTAAGTCTTCTCTTTCTTTACTTATCTTCTGTCTGGTTGTTCTCTCCACTATTGAAATGAGTGGATATTGAAGTTTAGAAATATTGTAGAACTGTCTATTTCTCCCTTTAATTTTGTCAGTTTTTGCTTCATATACAAATGGTCAGTTATTAGGTATGTAAATATTTATAATTGTTACATCTTCTTGCCATATTTAACCTTCAATTAATCTATAAATCCCCTTGTCCATTTCTTAAATTCTATTTTGTCTGGTATTATTATAGCCCACCCTTTCTTTTGGTTACTATTTGAAAAGAATATCTTCGTACATTTTTTCATTTTCCATGTGTTAATGTTTTTGGATCTGAAATGAGTCTCTTATAGATAGCATGTAGTTGGATTGTGTGTTATTTTCCCCCAGTAGTCTTTTTTTTTTTTTTTTGGAGAGATTTTCACTGTAGGGCGCGTGCACTCGCCAGACAGACAGAGAGAGACATAGAGACAGAAAGCGAGAAATCACCCCCCAGGGGGGATGGCCACGCCGCAATCCCTTCTCCTCCATTCTCCTCTCGGGATCTTGGGCACGCACGCACACGCGACCGGCGTGAGTTTTAAGCCACCGGGTCCGGGACACGAACCGCGGTCGATCCCCAGTAGTCTTTTTATTAGAGAATTTAATCTATTTAAAGTAATTATTAATATGAAGGGCTTTCTGTAATCTTGCTGTTTGTTTGTAATATGCCTTATAGCTTGTTTGTCCTTCATTTCTTACATTACTGTTTTCTTTTATGTTTAACGTTCTGTAACAAAATATTTGAATTTCTTAATCACTTTTTTTGTATATATTTTATAGGTATTTTCTTTCTTTCTTTCTTTTTTTTTTTTGGAGAGGTTTTTGGTACAGGGCGTGTGTGCTCACCAGAAAGACGGAGAGAAACAGAGAGACAGAAAGTGAAAAATCACCCCCTCAGGGGAGATGGCCACACTGCAACCCCTTCTCCTCCATTCTCCTTTCAGGACCCTGGGCACACACGCACACGCACCCGGTGTGAGTTCAAGCCTCCAGGTCCAGGACTTGAACTGCGGTCAACTACATGGGATTCCAGCGACATAGCCATTACACCAACTGCTGGTCCCATATTTTATAGGTATTTTCTTTGTGTTTGCCATGAGTACTACATCTAATGTCCTAAAGTTATAACACTGTAATTTAAATTTCAGTTTAATCTCAATAACATATGAAAGCCTCTACTCTTTGGGACCAGATGGTGATACAGTGGTAAAACAACACTCTGTGAGGCAATCCCATATGGAAAGGTCCTTGGTCAAGTCTGGAGAACTTCTTGAGTATGCTGGGCACACACTTGCCCATGATCCAGGGGTAGTTGAAGGCTAAGGGTGCATCTCTCCATTAAGGCCCTGTTGGGAGTTTTCTCTCTCTCTCATTATCTCTGTCTTTCTCACTCATGGAACAACAAATAAATAAACTTTAAAAAGTAGGCTCTGGGGAACCAGCAGTTAGTGTAATGGCTATGTCGCTGGACTCCCACGTAGTTGACCGCAGTTCGCGTTCCGGACCCGGTGGCTTAGAACTCACGCCGGGCGCATGTGCGTGTGTGCCCAAGATCCCGAGAGGAGAACGGAGGAGCAGGTATTGCAGTATGACCATCCCCCGTGGAGGGTGATTTCTCGCTTTCTGTCTCTATGTCTCTCTCTGTCTGTCTGGCGAGCGCACACGCCCTATAGCGAAAACCTTTCCAAAAAAAGAAAAAGAAAAAAAAAAAAAGTAGGTTCTGCACCTTTACACTTTTA